AATATATTCACAAGTTTCTTGAATTTCCTGTTGGGGGTTATTATAAGCTTCTTGAGGGACATGCTTGAATTGTTCACCTGTAACTTCTGAATACTTCAAATGCCTATTTAGTGGACATTCCATAAATACTTATTGACCAGTAGACAGATACTCTTGTCTATTAGTAGTTTGTTATTTACAATGTACTGTTAGATGTGTTATCTTACTCACTCTTTGCATGACTAACTCAGATGGTTAGAAGAGATTCTGCTCACAGCTTACAAAAACAGGTATAGAGGAGTTAAGTAAGCATAGCATCTTTAGTTTTATGAGTCTAATAAATGGCAAGGTCTAGGTAGAAGACAAGATTATTGCTTCCTAAATCCTGTGTGAAGAGATGGCAAAATAACTTTCTTATATTTCTGTACAATATGTGTCCTAGTTTGCTTTTCTGTTGCTGTTATAGAACACTGCCATCAAAAGCAACTTGGGGGAGCAAAGGGTTTATCTCATCTTACATTGCAAGTCACAATTCATCATTCAGGGAAGTCAGGGTAGGAACTCAAAGAAGGAACCTGGGAGAAGGAACTGAAGCAGAGACCATGGAGGAGTGCTGTTTACTTCTTCCCTGATTCTTCTTCTCAGCTAGCTTTCTTACTTAGCCCATGCATATCTGCCTAGGGATAGTACTGCCCACAGTATGCTGGGCCCCAACACCAATCAGCAATCAAGAAAGTTGCCACAGGCAAGCCAATATGATTTGAGAAATTCCTAATTTGACTCAGATAACTCTGAGTTGTGTCAGGTTGAGATTAAAACTACCCAGCTCTATGTACAACAGGTTTGAAAATATTAAGTCCAAGTTTCTAACTCCAACTTCACAGTTGGAATAATGGTAACTATAAAGGGCAGCCCTTTTTAGTTTATAGCAAAATTAATACTGGCAGCTTTTGAGCAGAACTTGGCCTTTGTCTCGTTGTCTCATTGTCTACAACTTGCTTGTGGGTTTTGTCCTTGCTGCTGTTGTACAGCTTATGAGTTAGAACTACACAGATATTTGTAAGATAGTTTGGCACAACATAGATTCTTTTGCTTCCATAGTAAGGATGGGGAGTGGATTTTTCTTTTCAACAAGGCATGGAAGTATATGAGTATTGCCAGAAGCAGTCAATGTAGGGAAACTAAAAAGAGGAACGTAAAAGGGCCACTAGCGTAGCACAGAGAGAGGGAACACCGTTACCATTTTGGTGTGCAGGTCACTCAAGATTTCTTCGTTACAGTCTCTTATAATGTAACAGTGCTTAAAACAGGCATTCGCATCCAGTATCATGATATTCCAAACATAGGTTCTATAACTTCTCTTAAAATAAAACCTAAAAATCTTTCCATATGTGTTATATGGATTTACATAATCATTTTAAAGGATTAGAATCCTTTCCTTTATTTTATACATATTTTTCATAATTTAATGTGTCTTGATGGACATTTCTTAATTTTGTTTTTGGCTCAGATTTTTCACAATGACTATATAATGCTTGAGTGGGGATCTTTATATAGTTCTCTGATTACTTCCTTAGGAAGGCGCACTATAGGCATTTTGTGAAGGACATGCATAATCACAAGGCTTTTGCTATGTATTACCATATTTTTCAAACTTTGATGAACTTTTTTAATATTTAAAGTTTATATATACTATGATGTCTACATATATATGTATATACACATATATACATGCTAATACATATATTAAAATATAGTACAAACACACATATATATGCATTCATACATCTGCACATATATTTATTTATATATATGACATGAAAGCAGAAGAGGTTATTTTGGGGGGAGCAAATAGACCACTGAGGGGGTAGCAGTGACAGGAGACAGTAGTAGGGGAGGGTAAATATGAGTGAGGTACAGTGATAGTTAAGAAAATGTCATAATGAAGCCCATTATTTTATGATGATTGTAGGCATATATATTATAGTAGATGAAATTGAGTGGGGGGTAATGAGAGGGTGCAAATGGGGAAGGAATCTAAATATGAGCAAAATATATTGTATGAAATTTACAAAACAATTAAAATGAATAATATTAAAAAAGTACTGTTGCCTGATATGATGGCAAGCACCTTTAATCCCAGCACTCTGGAGTGAGGTGGGTGGATCTCTGTGAGTTTGAGGCTACTGTGATCTACATAGAAAGTTCCAGGCCAGAGCTAAATAGTGAAACCCTGTCCAAGTAAATAAATAAACAAGCAAGCAAGCAAGCAAACAAACAGACACTATTAATATTTGAATTTCCTCTGTGTGTGTGTGTGTGTGTGTGTGTGTGTGTGTGTTCTGCTTTTGTTTTAGCTAGTATAGAATGTTGTCATCAGCCCCATGACAATACTATAACACTATGGCAAAGAGAAGTTTTTTAAATGTTTTTTTGTTTTGCTTTTTAAGGTTTACAGTTTGGGGAGAAGAAACAAAAGAAAAGAGCTTCATTCCAATTGATAACATCTCTGCATAAAGTAATTGAAACTTTAAAAAATTAATCAATTAGTACTGTTGTTGCTATCATTGTTGTGTGTATAGGGGTATGCATGTTTTGGCATGCATGTGGAGATCATAGGACAAATTTGTGGAGTCAGTTCCCTCCTACATTTATGTGGATTCTGGGGATCAAAGTAAGGTTGCCAACCTTGCATGACAAGTAACTTTACCTGCTGAGCCATCTCATCTGCCCTGTATAAAGCAATTTTCAGTTGTACCTACTCATATATTAACTGCTTAAAATGTTTATCTTATTACTTATTCAAACTTTCACTTATCTAAATGAGGATAAACTATTTGATTAGCTAAGCTGGATAAGTTGAAGATCATCTTGTCATTTTGAAGGACTTTAGAACATACCCTTAGTATCCCAACTCAGTCCCTCTTCTCAGCCCTGCACCCATCTTCCGTATGACGTGAATATTGGCTCATGATGGCTCCCAGTTGCCAGAACTGCCCTTGGGCAAATAAGAAGCTAAGCTGCCCCCCTCAAGACTTTGGGTCTGCCTTGCCCCAAGTAAAAAGGAATTGTGTGGGATCAGCCTGATGCTGAATCAGCACCATTGACTTTTTCTTCCCTTTCTCTATCTCACTACCCTCACCCTTAAACAAACATTTAAAATCATCTTGGATTAGGATCCTAAAGAATCTGACCAAAAATAAAAGTTTTCTACACGTAGAAAACTGGAAAAATGATTTCTTTTATTAAGTCATCTTATTGCTTAGCTTCACAAGCTATAGCATTCAAATTCAAAACAGTATAAATGATTCACAATGAAACTTTGTCTATCAGGTAACTATTGACGTGCCTCATGAAAGAAATATTGTGTTTGGTAAGCAGGTAATAATGTTGAATTTATTGGTTCATTATTGGTATGCATATTGGCTATCAGATTAAGCTGATAGATTTAGAGACATTTCTGAAGTTCTTTGTGGCTCGCAGAGTGATTTTTTTGTTTATTGTGGTTTTCATTTTAGGAAAACATAAATAAATTGATGACTAATTTGTCAACAGAGCCTCATTTTGTAAGATGTTTAAATCCCAATGTAAACAAAATGCCAGGTAAGAACTAGATATCTTTGTAATTCACAGTAGAAAATATATTTTAGTTCAGCCCTGTTGAATGTCTTTTAAAGAATTAAATACTAAGTTCTTCATATAAGGATAGATTTTCATATAGAAAAATGAAAGGATGTCAAATGTAAAGTCATTGGTACCTTGTCAAGGCCACTTTGAATTAAGTTGCAAATCTTTTGTCACATCCAAAGATTTCTCAAGTAGGCCTCTAGTGAAATTTATCTTTGAATTTTAGGTTAACATATGGATGAACTCCTTTTACATTCTTCTTCAGAAAAAATATAATAAAAGGAGTTTAAATAATCAGTCAGGGTATTAAGATAGATGTGTCAGGGCAAAGGATATTTGTTCTGAGTTATCTAAATTGACCCTGAAAATGGTTTTAATACATTTCCAATAGTTAAGCATTTTCTCTAGTAGTCCTTCCTAGTATCAAACATCATCTCAGCTCTTAACAATGTCCATTTCCTTAGTTATATACTTCTGGGCACTAAATACTTTCACAATGGATTAATGGTGATAGGACAGTGATGTAATATGAGAGTGGTGGTGATTTTTTCCCTATTTCTAGTTCTTAAAACAGCTTTTACTAAAATTAACTACCTGAATACCTTAGATAATGTATTTGAAACTTTCCACATACCTTTTTAGAATAACAGTATTGTTTTGAGCTTTAGTTTGAGACGCTTGGTCTCAAAGGAATTCTTATAACTAGCACTTATGTTTTCAGAGCATTAGCCACCCTTGGAATATGTAGCCAGGTGGTGCTGATTATGGTTTGTGTGGGTCTTCACTATCTTTTTTTTTATTCATATACTATAATTAGGAACCTAATCTTGACAGTGGCCTAATCGGAGAAAGTGTGATGCAAAATATTGTTGTAATTAGAGTTCTATAATGCAGACCTTTCAACATTTCATGTTTATTCATTGATGCATATTTTTTGCTTCATTTTTATCAGTTTGATTTTTACTTTTGAGTGTGTGTGTGTGTGTGTCTGTCTATTTGTATGCATTGTTTACACATGGTATTAGGAATAGAGTAGCACATATCTTCGCACATGCTAGGGAAGGATGCTACAATTGAGCTACATTCCCAGGCCTCACACAGCTTCTGATGTCATCTAAGAGGACTGTTTGATTCTAGCAAGGAATTTAATCCGCTGCTTCTATACCTTGGAGCAATTCTGTTACCTATTAGATTCCTTCTATTGAGTCAGCGCCAATTTCAGCATGTTTTCAACAAAAGCTTCATGATCAAAAACAATTCTTCCTATGTACTGAAAGGGAATGAGTATGCTTGATCTTATGGTGTCAGAAGCCTCTGCCCCACCTTGTTCTAAAAGATCTGTTTTTGTACATGAATGGATTGGAGTACAGACATATGGTTCAGGCTTACCCCTGTGATCTGAGACAGGTAGAGACACCTATGTGAAAGGGGTGGTCCTCGTCTTTGTCCAGCAGACTTGATGAAGGTCTGATACACTGGTTCCTTGGATATTTTTTCAAAGGCTTCTCCCAGAGATTGCAGCTGACAGCTTTAGGAGGCCTGCTTTTGATAAAGTAGTGCTAGAAGGATGCTCTAGAGTAAAACTTGGGCATTAACAGTAGAGAACAAAGAAAGTTGGGATGCGACAAATTCTTTCTCAAGGCAAAAATGCAAGCAATGTTGTGGTTGTGTCCATATCCCCCTGTCTTTTGATCTCCCCCTTTATAGCCTCTTCCTCTTTCTGTTTGGAAATGGCAGTTCAGTTTTGTGCTCTGATCACTCTTTCCTTAACTGATTTTGGCTGGCAATGTATATAACGTCAGCCATTTATATGTAGCAAGATATGTGATCTTTTTCATCTTCTAGGAGGATTTTCCTATAAAGTCTTATCTAACAGTCAGCTTGTTCTACATTAAAAGAATTCTAAGTAAATCATATTTGTATATTCTAAGTAAATAATATTTGTATATTCTAAGTAAATGATATTTGTATATTCCAGAATAAGAGAAGTTCTGTGAATGCTTTCAGGCTAGCAGTAAGTGAACTGTCAACACTATGTACAGCACACCAAATTCAAACTGTTTCTAAACCCAAGATGCATCACTTAGGATAATCTCTGGGATGATAGTTGTTTGAGGCTGGAGTCAACATGTCCCTTTCTTTCAGGTGTACTGGACCCTTTCTTGGTTCTCCAGCAGCTGCGTTGTAATGGTGTCTTGGAAGGGATTAGCGTATGCTGTGAAGGTTTTCCAATGAATTTACAATAATATTTAATGACTTTAAATAATATTTAAGGTAAACATGCATCCTGAAAGTCTGATGCAGTCTATTCTGTTTTCCTCTGTGTCTAGTGTTTAGCAATGCATTATTTGCTTGATGCTTTCCATTGTACAAATTGATATGTTTCTGTGGTGGTGAGATATATGCTGACAGAATTCCATTATCATTTGCTCTTAAATTTGATATCCATACAGCTGTAATACCCTTAAATATCTATAACTGGATATTAGACCCACATACAGAAGAAATATATATGGAAAAAGAAAGACAGTCTGAATGGAATTTTAAAATATATACGCTTACTGTAGCTGCCATCAAATCAGACTGTTGCTTTCCTAGCAATCCTGAAAGGAAGGAAACCAGCAGTGTGCAGGTGGCAGGAGACAGGAGAAGCATCTTTGATTCCTTTGTCTTGACCTCTAAATATGAAAATTACACCTCATCAAGACAATTTGAGCAATGTATGACAGAGCAGAATGAGAACTTGTGCAGGAACTAAAAGGCACATTTCCTGTTCTCTACCAACTCACCATTAGGGTGAAAAGACTTTTGCAGAAGACATTTATCTCTACTTTTCAGATTCCCTGTCCACATAAGACATAGTTATGCTTTCTCCTCATTCCTAACTCCCTTTTCCTTTCTAAGACCCCCTCCCTCTTAATTTAGTAGACAATCAAATTGGGCTAATATCTAAAGCACTAGAGAAAATACAAAGCAACCTTTGAACAGATTACTGATTATACCCTCACTGATGTTATCAAGAGCTTTGTGACAATTGGGCAGATTGTTCCAGATTAATCTTCATTTGAGTCATATGATCCCCCCACCCCATTTCAAATTAGGTACTGCATTCTAAACCCAAGGATCTTTTCAAAGAGCAAGTTTGTGAGCAGCAGAAAAGCAGCTGAGAAACTACTTAGCTTCTTGGCGATAAACCGTAACCAGTACCAATTTGGAATCACGAAGGTAACCCAGAAATTGCAAGGAGTACATTTGGACAGAAATGTGAAGAAAAAGTGAAGATCTTAAAGAATTCATAAACAATTAAAATACAAGGCATTATTTAGCTCTCGTGACCAGAAGTAACACAAATAGAGATCAATTAATAGTGGAAACTTCAGTACTGTTTGAGGAAAAAAAAAATCCATTTTTACTTTAACCTGTCTTGACTTCATTTATATTATTTATTTATTTTTGTACTGGGGATTGAATCTAGGGCCTTCCATATTCTAGGCAAGCACCCTTATCACTGAACTACAACTCTACCCTGCATACATCCTATAATACATAGATTATAATTAATCACCTAGTCAAATTTGTGCCAATTTATAAAATACTGAATTGACCTTTCTCTGATAGAAATCAGAACAAAAGAATGTAAACTAGATTCTCAGTCAACCTCTTGCTTAGTGAACTGATTCATCTACTGTACTCTTTTAGGAAATAACTATTGCTTGAATAATTTAAAAATCAATTATAAATCAAAGTCTACTTCCTTAAATGTGGTTATTTAAATTCTACTATGCCTAAGAAACCCACATATTTTTGGAAAGTTTTGGCTAACAGATTTGGTCTTACCTGGTACTCAGTATTGGGTTGTTTTAATGACATCTGTGTAAGAATTAAATTACTTGAAAGAGAATGGGAGGATCCAGGGTAAAGATTGATCTATTGATTATCTATCTATCCCCTATCTATCTATCTATCTATCTATCTATCTATCTATCTATCTATCTAATCTATCATCTATCTATCTATCTATCATCTATCTATCATCTATCTATCTATCTATCTATCTATCTAATCTATCATCTATCTATCTATCATCTATCTATCTATCATCTATCTATCTATCTATCTATCATCTATCATCTATTGATCATCTATCATCTATCACATCATCATTATCTCTATCTATCTATCTATCTATCTATCTATCTATCATCTATCTATCATCATCATCTATCTATCATCAATCTCTATATCTATCTATCTATCTATCTTCCATCTATCTATCTATCTATCTATCGTCTATCATCTATCATCTATCTAATCTATCTATCATCTATCTTCCTGCCTACATCCACCCATCTGTGCCTCTTCATCTTTCCACATCATCCTCCTGACTCAGTGTCTTGAGTGCTGAGATTATAGGTGTGTCACCAAACCGGGCTCTGTAGTATTTTTTATGAATGTTACTTGATTCTTAAAGTTTGAGCACCAAGAAATTACTGTTTATCATTTGTGGTTTCTTCCTTATAGCTCATTGTTTTTGCCACATACTACTCATGGGCCAGAGCTCACATGAGGCCAGTGAGGCCCCCAAGGCACATCTTTTAAGGGGGCTTTCATTCAGGGATATGCAAGTGAAGGTGAGAGGATTTCACCATCAAGACTGGACATATTTTCAGCATGGATTCACTTTCATGGTTATGCAAGAAGCTTTTAAGGATGACCATTAAGTGCTTCTATGGGATTTGTGCCTCACTTTGGTTGTTAATGATTTTTCTTGAGGAAAAATTGATGTCAAATCTCTGATGCATAGAGAAAAAGTTCTTTCTGGAGCATGGGTCAGTAAACTATGACACAACAACCATGTTATGGACCATTTAAAAATCATCACTGGCTAGCTAGAAACAATTTTATATTTTGGTTTATATTATATTATATTATTATATATTATATTTTATATTATATTATATTATACATAGAAATATTTACTATCTGCTCCATCACAGAAAAAGTTGTGGACCCCTGCCTGTTACTTTGGAGCACTGTGTACCTGAGCCCATCTTAAAACTTAAATCATAGTGTTTAAACCTTATTACTAAACATTTAAACATGGTGAATTTTGGAGTAAATTATCAAGTATCCAATATAACCAATATAAAATATCCTTTGTAAATTAAACTTTTTTAAGATGTAAATTTTATATGATAAATAAAACCTGTATAAAGAACTAAGATTCATAAAGTTGCCCACAAAGAGTACTTCAGTCATGAAAAGGGTCATTCAAAAGATTGCTGAATTCATTTAATGAGTGAAACTATATCTGACTTGCTTTCTTTAGGTATTATTTTTGTAAATTTTTATTGAATTATTGAATTTTTGTGTATTTCATACAAAACATCTTAATCATCTTTATACCTCCCCCTTAGGTATTTTTTAAAGTTAGCTTTCTGGACCAATTGGAAGAAAAAAGAGATGAGAAAGTATCTAAGATCTTCACATTGTTCCAGGCCAGAGCCGGAGGAAAACTGATGCGTAACACATTCCAGAAGATTCTAGAAGAAAGGTATTAACTGTTTCCCTGTTCTCCTGTTGCTATAGTTATTGATACCGCAAACACGGAGCTACCTTCTCTGCTTGGTCTGAGTCTTGAAAATGTTTTCATTGGTATGCAAAAAGACAGGATGCAAAGGACTTTACTGTCTTCCTCAACCCAATATAATCTTAATTCAAATGTTATTTCCGTTGCTTCTTATCTTTTCTTCAGGAGGAATAGTTTTTAGTTTAGAATTATGGACCTCTGAAGATGTATTTCATAAGTTATACCAGTAACAGATTTGAGAGGCCTGATGCACATATCCCACAGCCAACTCTTTATGGAAGTGTACTTCAATGTGAAGCGCTGTCCTGATCACTATTGCTTCCACTGGCTCAATAACTATGGCTCTTGATGTCTTATAATTCTAAATTTCTTAGTTTCAGTCTGGCTCATAGGAACATTTATGACTGTATTTGGACAATTTGGTGTAATTTCCTTTTTTTATTTTTTAGTGGAATCATGGAAAGCAATCTAATAAAATCTAAACGACACAACAAACAAGGAATTTTGCATTGGTAATATTATTTTTTCCTTGCCATAGTTTATCTTCTGGAGAGAAGTCCACCAGTCTCAGTCTAAGTTGCTTAATTGACCTTTTATTAATTCTGTTTGTCCAAAGTTCAAGACCAAGAAAGATATTAACGAGACAGCCCCCAAGGATTTTTTTGTGACTCTAATAGCAGTTGATGTAACATGGGAATTTAGGTAACAAGGAACACGTCTCCTAGGACATGTGTAAAATGACCTTTGTGTGTTTCTGTTTTTAGTTTTGTTTTGGATTTTTTTTTGAGACAGGGTTCTATGTAGTCCTGGCAGGCCTAGACCTAGCTATGTAGACTAGGCTGTCTTTGCACTCCTAGTAATGCTCCTGCCTCTGCCTCCTCAGAGTACTGGGATTGGAAGTATGTACCACCACACCAGTTTCCAATTGCGTAAACTTGGGTAAAATCCTTAATTTCTTCATATTTTACTTCCTTTATTTCTAGAATTGGTGACATTACCATTCATTGTTTCTAAATAATTTCTCAGAACTTTTCTGCAATTCATCAAAGCCATGAAAATATTATAATGCATTCTCACGGAGCCATCATAAAGGAATATTAATTTCTAACTTTTTATATACTGGTTGACAACTTTTAACACTTAAAAATTTAAAAACTGACATAATTGAAGCCCATGTGTATTTCCTCCCATTGATGCAAATTTATTCCTCCTACCCAGATCCTGAATTTGTGTTTAGTATTCTGTGATGCATGTATAAGTCATGTAAAAACATATTCTTATGTCTTTACTAGATATGCAGAAATCCTTAAACACTTACATGATTTTGAATGCTTATTTGATGTAAATTATATTCTTTATGAAGTCTATCTTCTATACTTAGCACTATTTAAAGTATATCAGTGCTGATTAATCTAGGGCTAGATTGTTGATTTTAACTTCTGTATAGTATCCCAAGAACTTATTCCTTGCCTAATAAATTAAATTGGTGCTAGTTCAAACATTCTGTGCTATTTGTGCTATTCCAATATTATTCTAATGGTTGTTTAACAACATTTTATAACATTTCCTCATTCATATGTGTGAATTTTTTAAAGATGACATAGCTGAAAATTTTCAGGTTGCTGATAAGTTAGTGACCAGTGGTTGTTCAAAGCAAGGACCTGAAGTAGTAGTTTTCTGGGTTTTAGATTACACACATTTTTTTACTTTGCAAGGTATTGTTAAATATTTTTTTTATTTATTCTTCACCAACAGTGCCTGTGATTCCCCTTGTTCCATATTTTCATTGATTCATGGAATTTTAGTCTTCAACAACTTTTGCCAAATGTAATATTTTTGACATTTGGGAAAGTTATCATTTCTGTTTAAAGAATGATACTTTCTGTAGGTTTAAAAAATTTGATGCATTATGTAAAGGCTATTCTTTCTATTTTATTTTGTTAAAGATCTTTATCATGAACTGATTACATTCTTTAACTGTATCTATAAATATGTGGCTATTCTGAATTTATTTGTAAACATGTTAAATCTTAATCAAAATTTTAAAATAGTGAACCTATCCAGCTCTTGGGAGACAGAGACAGGCGGATCTTTGAGTTCAAGGCCAGCCTGGTCTACATAGTGAGTCCCAGGACAGCTCGGGCTACAGGGAGACCCTGTCTCAAAAAGACAAAAAGAAAAAAAAAATAGTGAACCTACTTTGATTGACTCTGATGAGCTTAGTTATAATGTTATGAGATTTTTTTTTTTATAAATTGACTGGCCTATAATTTTATTGTTTTTCTCCTGTGCTACTGAGTTTTGGACAAATATCCTAACCTTGTAAAAATATGGAGAAATGGAGAATGCTTTCTTTTTCAACATATAAAGCAGTTTATTGCAATTGTCTGGTCATTGAATCTTTGGTAAATTTGCCTATAAAATCTGAATATGATGTTTCTTAATTTCATAATTTCGATTCAGATTATTTAATACCTCTAGGCCTGTTAATATTTGTTTTGGAATTAGTTTAGGTAAGACTTCTTTTTTAAAAATTACATTTTTTGAAACGTTCTGAATTAATAGATCATAAATTTTAAGTCTTTACTATGTCTATAATTATGTTCTCAGAAAACAACCTAAATTATTATACTTCTAAGGTGTTTTTCCAAGTATTGTTTATTTTTGCTTTTCTGATTGTTCTTTTTTGTTTTGTTTTGTTTTTGCTTTTGTTTTGTTTTATTTTTTTGAGTCCCAGCTAACCTGGAAGTCACTATGTAGACCAGGCTGGCCTCGATCTTTCAGAGATCTGCCTGCCTCTGCCTCCCCAGTGCTGGGACTAAAGGCGTGTGCCACTATGCCCAGCTTTGTTCTTGATAATTTATACTACATATTTATTCATTTGTTTATTTATTAAGTTACTGAAAGTTTATCTCATAATCTTTCCCCCCAAAGTTCATTAATTTCTCATCTCATCTTTATTCCTTACCTCAATTTGTTTTGTGTTTACCTTTTCTTTTTTTAGTTTTTTTGAGGTTTAATTGACAAAATTATATGTTTATGGTATATAATACTATGTTTGATATACATGCAACTTGTGAAATGAATACTGTAATCAAGCTAATTAAAATATCACTTTATATAGACATTTTTGTGTGGTGGGAATATTTAAATTCTACTCTCTTTAACTAGATGTGGTGCTATACGCCTGTAATCTAAGTACTTGGGAAGTGGAGGCAGGAATGTTTATGTCATATAATACTATGTTTGATATACATGCAACTTGTGAAATGATTACTGTAATCAAGCTAATTAAAATATCACTTTATATAGACATATTTTTGTGTGGTGGGAATATTTAAATTTTACTCTCTTTAACTGTAATCTCTAACCTGTAATCTAAGTATGTTGGAAGTGGAGGCAGGAAGATCAAGATGTCAAGGCTAGCCTTGGTCACACAGCTTGGGTTCCATGAGTCCCTGAGAAAGACATAAAAGCAAAACCAAAAATCACTACCACCACCACCAAAACTAGAAAAAGAAACTACTCTCCTAGCAAGGCTCCAATACATAATACAATATTATTAGCTAGAGTTAACACACCACGTATTAGATCTATAGACGTTATATATATATATATATCCAAAAGTGAGTGTATTACTTTTCTCTTTGCTGTCAAAACAACTTGATGAAGGATGTATTTTGCCTTGTTGTTTGGGAGTTAATAGTCAATAATGGTGGTAAGTCAGGAGGAACATGAAGTCACTGGTCCCATTTTATCTACAGTTGAGAAGCAGAGTGAGTCTGGGACTGTAGTGCATTCTGGGTAGTTCTTCCCTCCTCAGTTAAACATCTCTGGAAATACCTCCCAAAGACATGACCTGAGGAAATTATCAACCCAATCAGGTTGACAATGAAGATTAAGCATCAAAGTGGGATTGCTGGGTCATGTGGCAGTTTTATGTCTTTTTTTTTTTTTAAAGAATCACAGTACTGATTAATGATACTGAGCATTTTTTGCATAATTTTTTGGATATTAGTATATCTTTGTTTAAGAAGTGTATGTTCAGATTATCCGAGCATTAGAAAAAATAATTATTTTATTTTATTGCTTTTAAGTGATTGAATTCCTTATCTATTCTGGAAATAAATCCCTTAGTAGATGAGAAGTTTGAAATACTTTCTCGTTCTTAGCAGGATAACTCCCTCTTCCTCTAATTGTTCATTTGCCGTCTAGAAACTGCTCAATTTTATATGATCCCACTTCTTTTTATTTTTTAATTTGTATTAATTTTGTTAGTTGACAATTTCATATTTGTATTTAATGTATTATCATTAATCTCTCCCACATAACCTCTCTTTTGTCTCTCCCATTACTATCAACATCCCATTATCTCTAACAGTCCCTTTACCAGCATCATGACTTTTGGTTTTATGACCCATTTAGCTGAACCAGCGCCATCTGTGTGACCACTGGATTAGAACATCCAATGGAATCTGGAGAGTTCATCAGTGGGAGTACAACTGAAGGCAATGACTCTCCCGCTTTCTGAATCTATTATAGCAAATAGTTCAGCAGTGGGGGATAGGGCCCCCTGAGCCCCTCCTCCATCAATACTTGACTGTTGATAGGCCCATTTCGGGGGCCCATTTTTATACACACCCAGTGCAGGCATCCACAGCTGCTGTGAGTTTGTAATTACAATGGCTATATCCTTGCTAGAGGATGACTTTTAGCAGTCGTTCTCCCTATCTTCTGGCTCTTAACATTTTTACAGCCCCCACTTCTTCAGTGTTCTCTGATCCTTTGAGGGGATGGTATAAATGTCCTTTAGGGATGAGCACTCAGTCATCAGTTATTTTCAGCACCTTGTACAGCTACAAGTCTCTGCATGTACTATCATTCACTGGCAGGAGAGGCTTTTTTGACTTTCGTGCTTGTGTCTTATTGTTTTGGGTAGTTTTACTTGATCATATTTTGAATAA